AGGCGCCGAGCCGAAAGAAAGAAATCAAATGAAAAAATCTGAATAGCTCCAAGTTAAAAACTTTTAAACTAAAAATCGTACCTGTAAATGCAGATGTGAGGTACAGATTGGGCTCTATTTGTGTCCGATCCATACCACTTGGCGAAGCTATGTCAAAACAAAATTTTTCAGAAGAAAATCAGTTAAGCACAGATATACTCATAATTCATTTCTAGTCACTAAAAATCACACAAACCAAATATACTCCACAGTTACTCTCATAAAACCAGATAAACCGAAGCCTGACCAAGTGTCCTTAAAGTAAAGAAGGAAGTTAAACAGCAGAATTTTAATGACCGTCAATAGAAAAATACTTTACTTAGTGGATGATTATCTTTATGTATCAGAGATGAGAGAAAGGGGGAAGCAAAGAATCATGAGAGAATTTGCAATTTGTATTGAATAGCAAAAACGCATGGGTCATTTCTGCTAAGGTTAAAAGTTTCCACAGATTCTCTTACCTAAGAATTTAATCGTTACAAAAAGCAGAGCACAGTCTCCCTGGTCCCCAGGCCAGCCTGAGGCCTGCTGCCCAACACAACCTGTGGGAACAGCCAATGCGGCTGCAGGGAGCACAAAAAGGCAACACCCTGTTAAACCAAAGCAGATTTTAATAGGAAAACAGGTTGTGGGAAAATTATTTTTATGGCCAGAGAATTAGTAAGTAGAGAAAAGTTAAATAACGGAAGAGAGGAATCTGTAGCAGACAAAGATCTCAAGCCAACAAGACTCCTGGGATTCGAGGGCGTGGGGCTGTGCTGATGCTGTAGATCTGTGCTCTGAAACACAGTCAATCCATAACCCTCAGTAAATGTTATTCCAAACAAATTCTTGGGGTGGGGTGATATGAAAAATTCACAATACAGTATAATCTGTGTCTTTTTCTAATTTTCTCCAAGATTAAAATCAGTCATTTCTCAAGCTGCTTTATTTCACAAAAATTTCAGATGGATTTCACAAGGAGATAAGACATTTAAATGACCAAGAGTGTAAAGCACTACACATTTCATTACACCAAACAATACATTCTCTCTGGAGACGTCCATGTTAAATTATTATAGTTAAACTGTAGAAAACTTAAGAAATTAATGGATGCAATGAAGAAAAATTAAAGCTAAAAATATTAATTTTAGAGGAAAATATAGTTTTATAAACATGACATTGTACACAATTATTTGTATATCTGAAATCCACAAATAGACCAACAGTAAATATCCAATTTTGATATAGTTTAAAAAAAAATCTTTAAATGCATTAAAAGTGCTTACTATGACCTTAACTAGTGAATGCTATCTCTGTTCACTTCTACCCTAAGTTTCCAAGAGTGAGAGAAGAAGTCATAGTGCTTGGTCTCCAGCTTACTAGAGCTGCCTTTCAGATCAGGCACAGAGCATCCAGCACAAACGTGAAAACAAAGACATGAGTACCACCTCCCAGGACTTCTGCACTAAAGAACCATTTGTTTGCAGCAAGTAATGAGAATACTACCTACATAATTGGGTTGATAAAGGATCTTAGCAGAGTTTGTCACATATTGGCAGCGTATGTACATGGTAATGATTACATATTGTTTTGTCATTATTATAAACTAAAACTCGCCTCAACCAACTCAGGGAGAATCTTGATTTCTACAAAAGATGTTTTCTAACAATTAAAAAAAAGCCACTTTCTCAGTACAGAGTTGACTATTTGTAACTTATTCGACTAGGAGCTTCATAATTCTCAGTTGCTGAATGGGGTTATTGGGAAGGTAAGGATCAAAGTTGCAAACACAACCTACAACCAGGTCAACACGACCTTAAAACTGCTTGTCAAGATTGTAGAGTCTTACATCTCCTCATCATACTGGCTCAAAACTGAAAAACATAATACTTACTAGTATTTAAGTCAAAGGATGATAAGATAAATTTTCTAATTATTTGATTTATAAATTTCTATGGAAATTTTGAGTGGTTGATACTGACTAGAAACTGTGTCATAAATTATCTATGAATATAATTTGTCTTTTTACCTTTACCATAAAAAGGAAATGTTAGTGAAATAAAGAATAAAGACTAAGTGATCTTAGCTTTGGAAATAGAGTCCTAGGCTGGGAACACACAAGCACTACTGAACAAGCTTTAAATGCAGGCCCATGCTGGGACTGAACTGCCTGTGTGCTCCGTGCTTCTTCCAAACACTCCCCTTATCTCAGTATGTCAGCTTTTCATTTTAAATAATCATTCAAAATCTTGTGGTTATATGGTGCCAATTGAAAGTAAGCCATAGTTAGTTATAGTGTTATAGTTAGTGCACAAGCTTTTCAAATACTGTATCTAAAAGGATAGAAATTGGGGCTGTATAATGACTATACTCTTACATTTAAAAAACATTTACTTTTGGCTTGAAAGTTTATTTCTGCTCTTTAACGCTATCTTCAGTAATAATCACTGGTATAGCAACACTTTAATCTATAAATCTTCATAATATTACTTTAAATAAATTCTTTACAAATTATTTAAGAAAGCTGTATAGTGCTACAGGGCTGTTAACTGTAAAACAAGGCTACAAAGATGAAGGTCCTCCAAAATATGAATTTTTAAACCCATGTAACAAACCAATTATTTTTTGAGACAGAGTCTCACGTTGCCACCCTTGGTAGAGTGCTGTAGCATCACAGCTCACAGAAGCCTCAAACTCTTGGGCTGAAGTGATTCTTTTGCCTCAACCTCCCAAGTAGCTGGGAATATGGTGCCTGCCACAATGCCCAGCTATTGTTAGAGATGAAGTCTTGCTCTGGCTCAAGCTGGTCTTGAACCTGTGAGTTCAGGCAATCCACCCGCCTCGGCCTCCCCAGAGTGCTAGGATTACAGGTGGGAGCCACCACTCCCAACCCAAAACATAAATTTTTAAATGGGTTATGTCCAGAATTTAAAACAAAATCTGGCTGGGCGTGGTGGCTCATGCCTGTAGTTCTAGCACTCTGGGAGGCCAAGACAGATGGATTGCTTGAGCTCACAAGTTCGAGACCAGCCTGAACAAGAGTGAGACT